AATTTAAACAAAAATGCAGTATTACAAAAACAGCTTAGTACTTTGTCAGTGGTGACCTGTGAAGCTGTAAGTCTTCTTACACTTATAAAACATTAAATCGGTAATAAATTAAAAATACACTCCAGTTAAATCATTCCAAAACAGAAGAAACAGAAACAGAAAATAAAAAATAATAGGCTCTCAAACAGTCTCTTGCTATACATAACAGTGAAACAACCCGAATAGATGCTATGAGTCCAGAGAACTGTAAAGAAGCACTATACCTGATCTGTTCTGGTTTTGTAGCTGATGACCAGTGAGTGTTGATCAGATCACTGGGTAACAGGCATCCATGAGACAGACTGCAGGACAACAGGGGCAGCTGTTGCAGAACCACAGCACCACACGCATGCAGTTCCACACCATCCAGACGCCCACACTGACCACATATACTGGGCAATACATAAAGAAACATGACATTAGAAATGAGAATACGTGGAGTGCAGTCACACACATTTGAGCCTCCTTTATATTAGTACAAATATTCTCCAATTCTATCAATCTACACAAATAAACTCAGAAAACAATAAACTGGCATGTATGCATGCCATTGCAAAATGGTTACTATAACAATTCACTGTGATTCAAAACCCCTTAGAAACCAAGATTTATAGCTAGAGTGTTGTTGGTGCCAAAGTAATGGCACTTAATTTATAGTGAGAGCCCTTAAAGGCAGGATAATGCAATTTCCACTGAATCTGTGAACACTACAGCACCATGAGAGGAAGCAGACTCAAGCAGGGAACAAAACATCTTCCTTCTCTGACCTGATGATATCATCGAGTTTCTGCTCATTGACTGTGCTTCTGTAGAGGTTCATGTCTTTAGCATTGAGACGTCGCTCAATGCTGTGCAGAAGATGACAAAATCCTTGCATGGAGAGCCTGGAAAATAAGAACAAACAAACAAGAAGTTAAATTGTCATGACTCATGTATATTGAATATTTACTGTTATTGTATATAGCTTTATTAACTTTTTTGTTTCCTCTTGCAACTTGTAATTCTACAACAAGAAACTACATTTGCAAGCCACTTTGACTGTACAATGTAACATATTTCGGAGCAAAAAGGATGTTTAATGGTAAATATATACAGGATGGGACTTGATATTATCCACTGGGAATTGACCCTTCGCAGGGAGCTTGACTGGCAGGCGAGCTGACCAATCATATCGCTGAATCCGCCCATTTTGTCCGACAAACAAACCAGACAGGAGAGTGGATTAACTTTGGTGGACTTAAACTTGAAAAATTGTGTGTATTGATGTCTTTCCACGGTTGAAATAAAATACCTTCTAATGTTCATTCATGTTTATTTCATGCTTTAACTAGTAAATATGAAAAGATGATCGTTTCACGTGCCACTTTAACTGAGGTGCTACAGCAATCTGAAAAAGAGCCACAAAATGGCATTTATCGTTTGCATTTCTTAGAAATTGACAAAATTGGTAAGCTGACACTTTGTTTCATACAAGAAGTAACCTGCTCTTTCTTGTCTGAGAGTGAGTTTGCAATGGACTTTTGAGGGGGACCACTTTTAAGGGGAATTTAGAACTGGGATGAGGAGGCTGAAGATGACGGTCACCCTCGACAGCATCTAGACATATCCTAATTGTAACTCTTTTACAAATCTACCATAATTTGCTTTTATTGATGTCACATTAATTACATGAACTGACTTTACATGTATTGAACATGTTACTTACAAGATGACATTTTTATTTTTCTGAATGTTATGCACTGATGAATCATGCACAATAAGACCAGGAATGTGTATTAAAGGGGTCATATGATGCTGCTAAAAAGAACATTATTTTGTGTATTTGGTGTAATGAAATGTGTTTATGA